CCTACTATAGACATTTTAACAATATTAATACATCCAATCTATGAATATTCCATATGTTTGCATTATCTTCAATTTCTTTCATCAGTGTTTTATAGTTTTCAAAGTATAGGTCTTTCATCTCTTTGGTTAAGTTTATTTCCAGGTATTTTATTCTTTTTGGTGTAATTAAAACAGTGTAACTTCTCTTTCTGCTACTTGATTTTTAGTGTATAGATATGCTACTGATTTCTGCATATCAATTTTGTATCCTGCAACTTCACCAAATTCATTTATCGGTTCTGGTAAAGTTTTTTGGTGGAGTCTTTAGGATTTTCTCTGTACAGTATCATGTCATCTGCAAATAGTGACAGTTTAACTTCTTCTCTACCAATATAGATGCCTCTTATTTCTTTTTCTTATCTGATTGCTATGGCTAGGACTTCCAGTACTATGTTGAATAAGGTACTAACCTTGCATTAATAAGACAAAAAACACAGTAACTGAGTTGACATATAAGCAGACTATAAAGGAAATATTCCTTAATTTTTTTTTTACCTAAATTTGCTTATATTATTTCATTTTTAGGAAATATTATATGAGTAAAAATTGATAGTATAGTTTTATATATGGGATATTTGTCATTGAAACAAGAAATTCACTGATATAGGTAATATTGTACATTTATTAGTACATTTTAATGATATGATAAAAGTTAGCTATAATTTGGAAAATCAATAACCTTTTCCTAAAACATTTATGCTGTGTTAAGCACTATGTTAGAATTAGGCACCAGGTTTCAACCATGAAAAGAAAACAGGCCCATCCTAAAGGAAGTTATTGCCTGAAAGAGTAGAAAAGTCACTCAACTGTAACAGAGTTTGAAATCTAAGGACACAGTGCTATGATGCACAAGACACAAGCACCTAATGCATGTATGATAGATCAGAGAAGGCTTCTTCAACCTCAGAGTAAGGAGTAACTGGACCAACTGAAAGAAGTGAGGTGGACATGGAAGTTTCCCAGCAGAGGACATGTAATGAGAAGACCTGGAGGCAAGGAGCTGGACAGCAGAAAAGGTTGGTGGACAGCAGTGGGGGAGGGGGTGGCAAAAGTAAGGATAGAAGAATGATGAAAGGATTGTGTGCTCTGTTGAAGAGTTTGGGATTCCACCCAGAAAAAAAGAGGTCATTCAAGTTTTAAGCAGGGAAGTGACACAGTCACATGTGAGCATTATAACGATTATGTCAGGTGCAATGCAGAGAAACAGATCAATTAGATTGAAAAGAGAAACTGGCTTTGAGGATATTGCAGAATATGAAAAGAGATACTGGTGCCTTCTAAACACTTAAAAGTGGATATAAATATGATACAGTAAGACTAGCAGAGTGTGGTAAGTGAATAAATATGGAGATAAACGAAAGGGAGAAGCCTAACAGCAGATCTAAGATAATATCAAGTTCCTTAAATTGAGTAACCAGGGAGATGGTATTCACTAAGACAGGATCAGTAGGAAAAGACCAAATCTGAGATGTAAGATATGAATTGAACTTTATGTATATTGCACTAATGATGCCTAAGTTATCCAAATGGAGGCATCCTATAGACTACTGGACACACAGGTTTGAAGCAAAGAAGAAAGATCTGTTCCAGAGACTGATCATCAGCATATATATGGAAATTGAAATAAAGGGAGTAAATGAGATTGTTCAGGGATACTATTTAAGCTGACAAATGGAGCCTGAATAACACCAACAATTAATGCCAAAGGGGAAAAAAAAAAGTAGTCAGGGATTAAATCAGAAAATGAGAAGAAGTAAAATGTGATGAAAGCCACAAGAATTGCTTTGAAAAACGAATGCATTAATGCTACTGAGTGGTCAAGGATGATAAGAACTGAAAAGTGTCTACTGGACTCATTAGCAAGAATATTATGAACAAACATGGCAATAATGCTTCTGTAGATTAATGGGGTCAAGCTAGTTTGCAGTGAATGACAGAAGGTAAATTTCAGAAAGCAATTACAGATAGACAACTCTTTTAGATAAAGCTACAGATATTTAGTATATGTGCAGCCAAAATGAGCACAAGCCTCAGAAATATCTAAAGAGAGACATAGAAGAGATACCAGATTGTCTATATTGTCTGGCATGGTTAAATGTTCATTAGAGATATGAGTACACAATGACATCAAAGATACAGGATGGAATCAAAACACCCCCAAAGTGAAATAATTAACTTTAAGGGGGTGAGGGAATTTTTTTTCTTATGTAAAGAAGAAAATGATGGATTCAATTTTTTTCTTAGTCCAGTGTATTAGTTTTCTATTGCTATGTAAAAAATCACTACAAACTTAGTAGTTTATGACTATACAAATTCTCATCTCACAGTTTTCAGGAGTCTGGACACTGGTTAAATGGGGCATCTCAGGGACTAACGGAGTGAAATCAAGTTGTTTGTGGGCTGGGGTTGTGTTCTTATCTGAGATTCAGGGTCTTCTTCTAAACCCATTGGTTCTTAGCAAAATCTTCCACAGTTGTTCCTTGCAACTGTGAAAAAGGTCCCTGCTTTTTCCTGTCAGCCAGGTATTATTCTAACAAGCCATTTGTCCCTTTCATGTTGTCCTCTCTATAAGATGGCAACTGCTTCTTCAAGGCCAACAAGAGAACATTTGCTCCTTAAAATCTCTCTAATATTAGAAGAGCCCAGTCTCTTTTAATGGCTCACCTGATTAAATCAGGACCACCCAGGATAATTCCTTGTGATTAACTCAAAGTCAACTGATTTGCAACCTTAATTCCATCTGAAAATTCCCTTTACCTTTATAGTATAATGTAACCTAATCACAGGAGTGACATCCAATCTACTCACAGGTCCCATCCACACCCAAAAAAAGGAAGCGATACTACAGAACATGTACTCCAGGAGGGGAAAGTCTGAGGGCCATCTCAGAATCCTGCATAACACACAACAAAAAGATCACCTTAAATTTAAATATTTTTCTTTTCTTTCTGAAAGGGAGATTTGTTCACTACTCACTTAATATGAGGGTACTCATCTCTAAATACATACATATATACATTGTTTTATATCTATCTTTTATGGAAGTAATTTTCAGTTGTAAAAGAACCAAATCTACAAAAGAACTAAAAATTTACCATTTATTGAAAAAAGCAACATCATTGAAAACTATTGGGACCCTTCTAATCCAGAATTAGGCAAAGAGTGTAATTGCAGAGAGATCTCATTAGCATACATAGAGATCTAAATCATGACCTTCAATAACACTAAAAAAAAAAGATAACAGGAAAATGAAGGCAATTATTGCAACTCTTTGATACAGCTTTTCCCACCTGTCTTAATTAAATTATCCTTGGGAACTTCTGCTTTGGGTTGACACTAACTGTTGACCCTCTTTGGTACAGTGCAGACCTAGTGCTTAAGGTAGACTATCTCTCCCCATTCCCTCATACGTATATTCAAAAGCACACTTGGTTTTGGACTTTCTCAGCACAGAAAGAGAAGACTCCTGTTGGGGACTCTTTTCCCTTTGGATTCGGGATCTCTTTATGAAATGAGCAGAGACTAACCAGGTGAGAATTAGGTACCTGTTCATAATAGAACCTGATTCTACTCTGTATCAGCCCTCAAAACATTGATAGCACAAATGAATTCTCACTTACTTTATTCTTCTAGTATTGTACAAAATTAAACTGTAATAAAACTCAAATGGAAAAATTGAGAAATGATGAAACAAACGTATCATTTATTGCATGTAATGTGTCTTGGAAATCATAACACCTACCAAACAACAACAACAAAACATAATACAGTATCTCCCTCAGCAAATTAGTAAGATAATTCGATTCTAGGACTGTTCGAACACAGTGAAATACAGTGCCATTCTCAATCTACAGTGTCTTCAGGGGTGTGGAAAGAGGATGAGGGTGGAAATGCAAGTATGTGCAATTAAGATATATTTGCCACTCATGACCCATGAAAATAATGTAGGATAGATAAGAGAAAAGAGGATAAAAATAGTACTTCCCACTAGTTATTAAATCTCCATGCTTTTATAGTCATTATGGTGGATACTTTATTTTAATTTTTTATTTAAATTCAATTTAGTTAATATATAGTATATTATTAGTTTCAGGGGTAGAATTTAGTGATTCATCAGTTGCATATAACACCCAGTGCTCATTACATCAAGTGTCCTCCTTAATGCCCATCACCCAGTTACCCCATCCCCCCACCCACCTCCCCTCAAGCAACCCTCCATTTGTTTCCTACAGTTAAGAGTCTCTAATGGTTTGCCTCCCTCTCCGTTTCTATCTTATTTTATTTTTCCTTCCCTTCCCCTATGTTCATTTGTTTTGTTTCTCAAATTCCACATATGAGTGAAATCATACGGTATTTGTCTTTCTCTGACTGACTTATTTTGCTTAGCACAATACCCACTAGTTTATGGTGGATACTTTAAATACATTATCACAGACCTTCACAATGACCTGGCAAGTAGGTATTTGTCTCAATTTTTACATTTTTACAAAAGGGAGAGACAAGTTAAGAAACTTACCCGGGGACACAGAAGGAGTGAGAAGCTATAATGTGTCCCCAAGTTTAGCTGACTTCAAGGCCTGTGTGATTTCTCATGTATCACATCGCCTCGGGTTGCAAGGAGCGCTAGTGAGGAGCCTGATGTCATATGTCTCCAGAGTACTGGAGTAGCACAGGCTAAAATAACTTCAGACTCTTCTGGATGCTCAGTGACCTTGTTTTTTAGAAAAGTACCACAAAACATAAGTTTAACATGCCCTATTGCCCTGAATATGATGAGATTATGTCCTATGAATTGGTTTATTTTCATAATATTTTTAATAAGACAGATCTTTTAAAAAATATGTACTTTATCCATAAAACATTTTTATATCAGAGATTTCATAGCTGATTAAATACTTGGATTTGGTCATTTTTTTTAAGACCCCAGTTAAATAATGCTCTAAATATATAAGGCAAATTACCTTAGTTTCCCAGCCTTCTTCCTGTGGTTTAGCTTGTACAAATCTGTACCATTTTCATTCTGAAAAAAAAAAAAATCATTATTTGAGGGGAAAAGAGACACATTATATCAGTAACGTACATGTGAGTATTAGGAACAATTCTATAGCTCTTGTGTTATTATAGAGTGATATAACTGCTGTTTCCTCTAGTGTTTCTCCTTCCCCTTTGAGAAGCCAACATAAGAGACTTCTGCCTGCACATCCAGAGCCAGAAACTCATTATGATTGCAGCCCTGAAAGGCAGTGCTGGGAACCAACTGTGAAATTGTGATTCCTCAAGTGGAGTGTGGGAAGCCCTATGTACTGCTAGTTTTCTAATGGATTGAACCACACAATCACAGCAGATAGAAACCCTGAAGGCTGATTTTGGGTGTGTGTTTATTTTAGTGGTGTTCAAGAGAAAACTAATTAGAGGGAAATTTATCAAAACACATGTTTCCTTGGCTAAGAAATGTCTGCTCTAAATATTTGCTTTTCATTGATGTTTGACATGCATTTTGCCTATCCTTTTAAATTTTTATTTTTCTAAAGAATTCCTTATGATAGAGAATATGAGGAAAGAAAAATTGGTGGAATTTGTCAGCTGAACATTGCAAAATTTTATAATAAATCTGATCTTTGGTTGTTCCTCCTCTTGGACAGACTCAGGAATCAAATGGCCAAAATAATCAGCCCTCCCATCTACTTAATTTTCCTGCAAAAATTATGTAAGAAAACAAGATAAATAGTTTAAAACCAATATAGCATCATTCCATCTATTGAGCCTGCATATTTATGAAGGGATTTGTGGAACTCAAGAACTATTTGATGTAAGCTGCAACATAGATAAAATTTCAACTTGCAACTTCCAAGAAATTTATCTAAAGCTATGACTGCCTAATGTAAATAAATTCATATAAATTGGTTCCTACCTATTGTTTTCTATTTGTTCTTATAACAAAGTATGCAAACTTCAGGGAGTAAGGGACAGGTGGCTAGGTAGGGAAAGACAGATAGGGGGCTATGTGATCAGGCTCACAGAAATCCCAAAAATGTGAAGGTGTGGGGAAACCAGAGATAAGGGAACAAACCAGATCACCCCGCCCTAGGCATTTAAGTGTGAAGAGTAACCAAAAGAGAATTGCCATGTATCTGAATCATTTCAGTCATTCCTTCCTAATTCTATTTCCCCTCTCTCTGCCATGCATCTCTCCAGGTCAGATTCTCTATAAATATCCCTCCTCCCTTTTCTTATTCTTTGATCTTTTGGGCTCTAGAAGAGGGATTGAAAAGTTGCTAGTGGTTGTTTGCTAGATCATAGGCCAATATAAAGAAGGTAAAGTTTGTTCGAGGAGTAAAATTGGAGTAAAACATTATTTCTTATACATCACTATTCCAAAAAGGTGACTGGTAAAAGCTACTCAGGTAACCTAAAACCTACCTCAGAATAATGGATGCATATTTGAGCTTGAGCCTCCCCCCAGCACCAATGAGCAGGAATATTCTCAGAGTGTTCCATACAGGTACTGTTGCTGGGGTGGTGGGTGGTGGAGGGACCTATTCCCCTGTACTCATTTACCAATGTTTAGGCCCCTGTGTCCAAAGCCAGTATTTTGAGTGGGATTTTATTCTCCTTAATGATACTCCATTAAAAAATAAATATCCTTAAAAATGGATATTATTCAAAAGAAAGGATATGACAGGTAACATAAGAGCTAACATTATTCATCATTGAAAAATATATTTTAATCTTTTTTTTTTTTAAAGATTTTATTTATTTATTTGACAGACATAGAGACCGCAAGAGAGGGAATACAAGCAGGGGGAGTGGGAGAGGGAGAAGCAGGCTTCCCGCTGCGCAGGGAGCCCGATGCGGGACTCGATCCAGGGACTCCAGGATCATGACCTGAGCCGAAGGCAGTCGCTCAACCAACTGAGCCACCCAGGCGCCCGAAAAATATATTTTAAAACATCATTAAATCAGGGGAGATTATTGCAAAAACAGAAAACAATAATAATTCAGGGTACACTTATATACATATATGCACACAAATACCTATTACATATTTATGTATTATAAGTGTTACTTCATAAATGGAAAGAGAGATGCTATTTTAAAATGATGCACAATAAATGCTGATAAAGGAGCTATATAAAAAGATTGGCAAGGGCGCCTGGATGGCTCAGTTGGTTGGGCGACTGCCTTCGGCTCAGGTCATGATCCTGGAGTCCCGGGATCGAGTCCTGCATCGGGCTCTCTGCTCGGCAGGGAGTCTGCTTCTCCCTCTGACCCTCCTCCCTCTCATGCTCTCTGTCTCTCATTCTCTCTGTCTCAAATAAATAAATAAAATCTTTAAAAAAAAAAAAAGATTGGCAGATACATTATATAAATATATCTATTTATAATGATAATAAAAATGATTTTATAAGAAGGGAAACAGATCCATACAAATATTTGCAGCAAATTTTCTATATATTTAAAAAAACAATATCTGTACCGTATAAAAAAGGTTTATGCAAATTGGTATAAAAACCACTAAAATATAAAAAAGGATATGAGCAATTTAAACTAAAGTTAGTAAAGTAAAATATCTATATAAAAATGTTCAATTCTCAGAGAAGGGCACCTGGGTGGCTCAGTTGGTGAAGCGTCTGCCTTTCCCTCAGGTCATGATCCCAGGGTCCTTGCAAGGAGCTCTGAATCTAGCTCCCTGCTCAGTGGGGAACCTGCTTCTCCTTCTCCTTCTGCCCCTCCCCACCCTTGTGCTCTCTCTTGTGCTCTCTACCTCTCAAATAAATACATAGAATCTTTAAAAACAAAAATATTCCGTTTTGCTAGTTACCAAAAGAAAACAATGAGATAAGAGTAATGTGCCTTTTTAAACCAATAAAATGAGGAAATTTGGTAATCAAGCAGGTGCTCTCGTACATAACTTATAAAAAATAATAAATGGTCAGATTCCTTCTGGAAAAATGATTTTTCAAGGTATTCCAAGACATATAAAATAATTGTACCCTTTAACCCAATTATCTTTTGATGAAAAGATAAAAGAGGGAAAATAGGAAGGAAAAAAAATGAGGAAAAGTTAATATGCATGAAAATATTCATTATAATAAATATAAAGCCATTAAAATTATGAGGATTGTGCAACATGAAAAATGCTTATTTATAACATTAAATGAAAAAATAAATAACTGCATCTGTCTACTAAATATAAAAATCATGCCTAGATAAGAAATACATGGGGGGAAAAAAGAATAGTTAAAAGTTTGATTGGTTAAATCTTTGACTATAAGCCATTTTAATGCATTGTGTTTTAACCCAATCGGTACTACAATTCTATTTATTTAGCAAAAATAATTTATTCAAAGCAAAAATTCCTGGCAAGGAGTAACATAAACCCTAGTGGTCCCTATTTTCTATCCTTTCATCTTCCATAAAAATTTTAGCTGGGCACAAGGCCACCTGAATAAAGGCAGCATGTCCCAGTGTCCTGGGACATACCTAAGTCTTGGCCAATGTGCCATGAGTCAGAATGCTATGTGGCAGCTACCTGAATCCTACCTTAACAGACAGCTGTCACATGGCCTTCCCCAGCTTCAATGTTCCTTCATCCTGCTACATAGGTTGTAGAAGCCAACTTGGACAAGGGCCACAGTGTAGAGTTGACAAAACAGTTTTAACTGGAAGGAGTCTGAATCCTTCAAGACAACGTAGAACAGAATCGTACTCTCAGCCCTGGTTTGCCTATCTCTGGCCTTTCTCTACGTGAAGGATAGTGAGCAAGAAACCATCTTGTATAAACTACTGTTAGTTTTCACTTTTCTGTTACTAAAAACAAAATCTCAACTTACTAAATGCAAAGAGGTCAGCCCAAAAGCCAGCTAGTTGCAATGTTTAAGTCATGATCAGTTGAAAATAACTGAGAGCAAAGTAGGGACAACGATATGGGGGCAGTATGACACCAAGATTGCCAAAGTTGATCCTAGGGCATTCGCATTAGTTGACAAGATCTAGGCCTTCTATGTCAGGCATTCTCAGCTAAGGTGATGAAAACTGGTTCTTCAGGGACAAAAAAGAAATGTTAGTATACAATGGTTTGTGGCTCTCCAACATGCCACAGTACATAAAGGGACATATAATATTTCTACGGTATTAACATTTCATGGTGATGGGTGAACAAAGAGTCTAAAAAAGTCTCTGGGTGGGGGGTGGGGTGGAGGGCAGTGATCATGGAAGAAAAAAGAAAAAGACTAAGGAATATTGCTGAATGTGAGTGTCCTCCCCTGCCTGTTCTATTAAGCAAATCCTACTTTTCTTTTGGATTCCATAGCTTCTTCAGTTAACAACTTGTCATATTGTTTGATTCGTGATTATTTTTCTATCTCCTCACTAGATTTTAAGAAGATTATGATTTTTGGGGCACCTGGGTGGCTCAGTCGGTTAAGCGTCTGCCTTCGGCTCAGGTCACGATCCCAGGGTCCTGGGATTGACTCCCACATCGGGCTCCTTGCTCAGCAGGGAGCCTGCTTCTCCCTCTCCCTCCGCCTGCGGCTCCCCCTGCTTGTGCTCTCTCTGTCTCTCTCTCAAATAAATAAATAAAATCTTAAAAAAAAAAAAGATGATGATTTTCAATTCTGCATTTATAACACATTACTTGGCACATAACAACAGCACAAAAAATGTGAATGCCGAATGAGCACACCAGGGGCATTTTACCTGTAAGTCTAATGCTCCAGCAATTCTCACTTGACAACAGACACAACTTGCCCTCTGCTTGAGTGGTGACAAATTAAGACAACCTCTGAGAACACACAGGATTTCTCAAACAATATGTTGAATAAGTTGGTAAAAATATCCAGTTCAGCCACAGAAATACCTTCATTCCTACTTATTTTTACCAATTTAGGTTTTCCTGTTTTTGTTTTTGTTTTTAAAGGTTTAATCTTCTTTATACTCATTACTACATAGCATTTTCTCTTTTAATCTCAAACATCAAGTTGATTTGAAATCTGCTGTTATTTTAACAATAGGGCAGAG